GTATTCCAAGTCAGGAAAACCAAAGACCTACAACCAAGATTGCTCTATCCAGCAAAACTTTCATTTAGAATGGAAGGACAGATAAAGTGCTTCTCAGATAAGATCAAATTCAAGGAGTTCATCATTACCAAGCCCTTATTATATGAAATGTTAAAGGGACTTATCTAAAAAAAAGAAGATAAAAAAGATGAACAGTGAAAGGACAGCAAACTCACAGTTATCAACAAGCACACCTAAAACAAAAGCAAACTGAAAGGACAGCTAGATCAGGAGTGAACCATAGAAATGAAGATCACATGGAGGATTAGCAACAGGGGAGTGGCAGAAGGAGAAGGGGGAGAAGGTACAAAGAATAAGTAGCATAAACGGTAGATAGAAAATAGATAGGGGGAGGGTAAGAATAGTAGGGGAAATACAGAATCTAAAGAACTTGAGACACGTGTTCATGAACTAAAGGGGGGGAATGGTGGGAGAGGGGTGTGCAGGGTGGAGGGGAAAGGAGGGGGGGGAATAGAACAAATGTAATGGCATAATCAATAAAAAATGTTTTTAAAAAAGTGTAAAAATCAAAGCTCGCTGATGTATAAAATAGTACCCTCCCTGTGATTTTTAGGGCGATGTCCTTGGATGTTTGACCTTGTGCTGCCCAGGGTGCCGAGCGCAGCTGTGCGTCTCCAGCACTAGAAACCAGCCCTGTTCTGACCCCCCTTTCAGGCACAGATATGGAGCGCACACTTAGAATGTGTGCGTGTGTCACGCAAAACATGCGCAGATTAGTGTTTCCAAATCAGTCAGCCTGACTGTAAATGTTACAATGCTCAGACACGGTTTGCTTCCCCGGCTTTCCCCATTGGGGCACTGCCCCTGACAGACGGCACTGCCTGTGGTGTCTCAGGCCACCACGGTCCACCCCTGTCCAGGGCACTTCATTGTAGGTCACTGGTTTCAGAGCATGTGGATGGTGTCCCTGGGCTCATCTGTTCTTAGCGCATCTGAGAGTCCGAGAAGGTCAGTTTCTGTCTCACTGGGCTTTTGCTCGTACACTGTCTTCTTTGTGCTCCTCTGTCCTGTTACCTTCGCCACAAGATGTTTGTCCATCACCGGATATTACAACGCCCGCCCCCACCCCCCACATGCACACACGTGTGACCACAGTGGAAGACTGAGCCCCAGAATGGACCAGCCGTGGACTTGCTTCAAGTCACACCTACCAGTGCCGACTTCGTACTCACATCTTCTACGGCCTCCTGCGTTTTCTGCCCAGTTGATGGTTTTGACGTGCACCTTCTAACAGTGACTTCAGGAGAGCGAAACGCACGGCTCGCCCTCTCCTTCCATGGGTCGCCGTTCTGAGTCAGCCACAGAACTTTCCACTTTGCAGCAGGGAGGCCCTCTCCCAGCTTGAAGAACCTAAGCTCACCCTTCTCCCTTGTGCACTGCAACTGCACAAGAAGACTCCAAAGGGCTATTTTTGTGGCTTCTGCCAAGTGCCTGTTGGCTCTGGAGGTGTAGTTTTTAAATTATGATGTTAAGACCTTAAGTTGAATTAGTTTTGAACCCCAGAATGTTTCCTCATGACCCTTTCTAGTTAAACTCCGTCCCAGACCGCAGAGAGGTCATTGCTTCCTGAAGGTGGATGTATCGCTTGTTCCTGATTTCTTTTGCATATGTGAGGCATCATGTTTCTGAGAATTTATCCTTATCATTATATGTATCAGTTTATTCTTTTTTGTGGCTGAGGGATATTCCATTGTATAAATATGCCGCACTGTGCTTATTCCCGTACCTCTTTTGTTTCTGAACGTTTTAGATGGTGCCGTCTTAGCAACTTTCAAATACACATCATCCACACACCTCTCCCCGGCTCGTTTCTGTGTGAGGCTGTGAGAAAGGGAGGCTTTAAAGTGTCTTGCATAAGTCTCGTGTGGATACATAGTTTTATTTCTCTTGGGTACAGACTAGGATTAGAATTGTTGGGGAGTAGGCTGTATGTAAGCTTAATTTCATAAAAATAATTACCAGAGAGTATACAGAAGCTATAGTCAGTGCATTCGTTTCGGCTGCTTTATTTCCTCCACTACAGTTGAAGTTTTCAGTCTTTTTATGTCTAGACATTCCAGAAGATACTAAATGGCTTTTCATTGTGGTTTTAATGAGCATTTCCCCAATGACTAATTGAGTGCCTTATCATAAACATATTGTCTGTTCTTATGTTCTCCTTGGTAATTTCTTTTAAATTTGGTAAGCTTTGGTAAGCCTTTTACCCATTAGAAAAGTAGATGGTCTTTTTGTTGTTGGTTTGTAGTGATCTTTATATATTCTGGGTTCTAGTTCCTTGTCTGATACTCTCTATCACAAACATTTTCTTGTCTGTAACTTAGCAGTCTTCTTAATGACATTTTGTTGATTGACACTTTTAATTTTGATGACATCCTATCCATATTTTTCTTTCATAACCGGTGATTCTTGTGTTCTGTTTAAGAAATGTTTGCATAATGCAAATCTATGAAGATTTTCCTATGATTTCCTTTAGAAACTTTGTGGTCCTGATCTTTCTTGTTAGGTCTCTGTTCCATCTCAAATTAATTTTCGTGTCTGAACTGAATTTGAGGTTGTGGATTATCTTGTTCCTTTGGATATTATTTGTCCCAGCACCATTTGTGGGGGAGGGTGCCCTCACCGCCCTCACCACATTTGCCTGGGTGCCTCAGGGAACGACTCGGCCAGGGCTCTGCAGGTGTCCAGGGGGCGTCACGTGCACTTTGGGGACCGTGGACCCTCACCCTGCCTTTGCACGTCCTGTCTCTGCTGCTAGAGTGTCATTTTTTTCTTTTCCTTCAGTGCAGCCCCAAAACAGAGCTTCATGGTCTTAGAAACCTCCCATGATTTCCCACATTGCGTGGCTCAGTGCTGCTTTGGGGAGTCACCCAGCACCTTTCAGGACGCCTGTCTGACTGCATGCTGATTCTCTCTCTATCCGACTGTCGCACAGTAAGACAGCGATTTACCTGAAGACAGGCTTGTCATTTCATCTCTGTAGCCTTGGTGCTTTGCACAGTGACAGGAAAAGTACAGCCACTACTCAGTTAGTCATTGTAATGGACTCTGTCCTGGACAGTCCACGGGAACTGGAGAATATCATAGGCTTTGCAGTGAGATAGTTATGATTTCAATTCTCATCTCTGCCACATGTGAGCGATGTGAATCAAGGCATGTTATTTAATTACCAAACTTCAGGCTATTATTCTGTAACATACAGATACTTAGTCCTACTTTGAGGATTTTTTTCAATAATAAAAGACGTAATATCCAGTATGTAGTACCATCTGTCCTGTAGCTCTACCGTCACACCAGATGTAGTGAAATCCACAGGCATCACCCCGTGGAATAACAGTATTACATCGGATGGCCCTGAACCAAGGAAAAATGTGTTCCACACTTCTGTGTAGATGCCCCAGGAACGTCATGTGTAGAAAAGTGAGGTGCATCATGGGAACCCCAAAATAAGGTCACGGCCCAAGTTCACAGGATTTCCAGGGGAGCTGCCCCAGCCTTTAGACTGGCACCCCAGGAAGTCCATGCGCGGGTCTGTGGTGCAGGACTTCCCCAGTCTGACACCCTCCTCAGGCTACACCGCTGACCTCTCCCACCTCTCCCACTTAGAGGCACTTCAGAGGCTTACAGTACTGATAAATTTTCCTTCTGAAATGCTTTTAAGCACACTGTATATGTGTTTCCTAGCCTCACTGGCTATGTGTGCAAAGTGGTCTCTCAGTCACGGGTGTTCACGCCCATGGAAAACCTTTCTGAACGACCGGACACCTGTTAGACCTGAAGGGGACGGCCAGGATCTAAAGGACGCTTAATCACCGGGGCGTCAGGCTGGGTAAAACATAGCTGAGATGAGTGCTTTAGATTGCTGAGATCTTTAATGAGCGTTGCACTTGATTTAATAATCTATCTATTAAATACATTTAAAAAATTGGCAAATTGAGCGCTTGCCTCAGAGCAAGCAATTAGGGCTATTTTCATTCCATGTTTACTTCCCCACGTTGAGGCAGTGTTTGTTCAGTGTCAAGCACGTTGAATTAATCTTCCACTTGTTTTTTCCCCTCAATAAAACTGTAAATATTGAATCTTACTGTCAGTCACACCCAGCTCCTTGTGAAGTGACGGAGCGCTAACAAGCACGGAGGAAGATTTACTGATTTCACGAAAGCGAATCTTGACTCTCTAGTGCATTTATAAAATCTGCGTAATATTTTATAAAATCTGCATAATATTTAGTGAATCTGGGCAGACATCAGTTGAATCTCTGTAACCTGCATTCATGCCTCGTGAGGAATATGTTCAAGTGGCCCTGTCGGACTGAAGCAAAGTTTAAAACAATCTTATTTTTTTTCCTCAAATCCTGAACTGGACACATGCAGGTTTTGGATTTTATGTTCTCTTACAAGATTGTTGCTTAATACTTGCCTATTTATATGTAAAAAGTAGCTTGCTTATTCTCAAGTCCTTTCTTCCGCTGGGCAAAGTCCACCCTGAAGCCTGAGTGGCAGGAATCGCAGCACCTTCCTCCCGGTCTGAGTTTCTGCCCTGTGTTTCCAAACCCTTGGTGGAAAGGAACCGTTCATTCCACTCGGTGTATAAATCTGTTATTCCAGTACATCAAGACAAAGTGCGTAGCCTATCTTAGTGCTGAGTCCTTACTCGTGTTACTAATAACATCTGACTTCGTTAGTCCTGAAACTGTTGTGAGAATCTCCTCCTCTCCTCCTGTCTGTGGAGGCCCGGCCAGGCGCTCACCTTACAGAACTGCGTGGGCTGGTTCACCTCTACTCTGTTCAGGGAGAGGATGCCATCCTGAGGTGGATGTTTATTTTCTGTGTTTTGTTTTGCCTGAACAATGAAACCAGGTCAGCCAGTTCTAATCAAGCAACAAATATTTATTAAGTTCCTATTAAGTGTTAAAATTTGTTCTTGCGCAGAATAGTCTCTCTCCGAAGTATTATGATTAGGAAAATCCATTCAATTCAATAGGGAGCTCCCGAGTGCCCACTGAGCACCGCATGCTACCAGGTAGATGGGCAGAGAGAAGAAAGAGGCGAGCACCTCCCAGGGAAACAGTGCGGTCGACGTAATGTGGGGCAGGGAGGTGGAAAGACACATGGTAGGAAATGAGAGGGCGTTTTATTTTCATGAAAACGTAGGAAGTGTGGTATTGAGAGTACAGGAGAAATTGTCTGAGGTCAGATTTTATTTATTTTCCAGCTTTATTGGCAACTTTGTACACTAAGTGATGATTTGGCACAGATGTACATTGTAAAAAGGACCCTCCCCATGGAGTTTTAATACATGGAGTCATGTTTGCCTTTCCTGTACCTGAGATGCCATGAAGGAGAAGGGACCCCTGCGTGTGCACAGAGGGAAACTGGTGACCGCAGGGAGAGCAGAGCTAGAGGGTGGCTCTGGTGTGACCCTGGGGATGTGATGGTGCTGAGGAAGGAGGCAGCCTGAGATGGAAGAACAGATCGCTTTTTTTAATCAAACTTAAGTTGGAAAGGCCAGAAAAAATAATTGACACAGAAAAGACCCAGAAACAGTTGGAATTTAGGAGCGCAGCCATGTGGGGAGAGCAGAGGCGGTAGTGCCAAGTCATTCCACTGTTGTGTGTGCACGGAGCTGAGAACTGGTGCTCATAACCACTGGCTGTGAGCACCGCCCTCCTGGTGGGGGGGGCTGGACTAGTACAGGGCAGGGCAGAAGTGGGCTTACAGGTGCGAGTACATGAAACTCGGCTCATTCTTATATTACTATTTTCACTTACTGTGTTATTTTCCATATTAATGGCTGTAAACCTATTTTTGCCCATCCCTGTAGAATAGACTGTCCCTTTCTGTGAACTCGGCCCAGCCAAGATCAGCCAAGCCGTGCGCTGACCTCCTGCTGACCAGAGACGCGAGCCTGGGGAGCCAGCTCAGCCCTGGGGAGCTGCCCAGCCTGCCCATGGTCTGGTGAGAAACGACATTATTAAGTCATGAAGGTTTTAGGAGTACTATTAGGTAGGAGTAGCTAATGTACGCAGTGTTCTCAGATTTTTTGTGGTGTTTCTGCTTTCCTCTGCGTAGCCTTGTCCTGTGGTTCGCCGAGTAGGGCAGCCTGGCTCCTTTTCTTCCCGCTCTTCCTTCTTTCGTTCCCTTGAAGATGCGCAGTGGGTCGGCCTGTGGTGAGCCGGCTTTGCCTGTTCTTGTTTGGTGATGCTCCGCTGAAAACATGGAGATCAACACTGCATTAGAAAGCGTTTTGGTTTCCTGTATTTTCTTAAACATTGTCATTTTCACGTGTACCTAACAGTTAAAGGGCACAGATTTCTGTGACTGTTTGCATGCAGTTGGATGTTTGTGCCGCTTATAGTAGCTTTTAACATGACTCACAGCGCATGCTCCACAAGGGCTGTGTTTGTTTGTTTGTTTGTTTTCACATCTGCGAGTTCTTTTTTAGGATGAATTCCCAGGAATGCTATTCCTGAGCCAAAGTCTATAAACGACTTCAAGGGTCTCAGAGTTATGCCAATTTATGTGAGCACTAATGCAGGCTCTTTCGTGAAGCATCATGTAATTGTAGAAAACATGCTAATTAAGCTTGAGCTTGTGCACTGTATTTGTTATTGTAGCAGAAGTGATAAGTAAACATTAACTTTTATTGTAGTAAAGATAGTGTCAGTCTTCAATGCAGAATGATGCCTTAAAGCCAAAGATGCCTCCGTCTCCCACTAGAAAGCTGGATTTGTTAAGGCTCAGAAGGAAATGGGGCAGCTTCTCTTGAACCAGCAGCCCCCTCATCCCAGCCAGCGAGGCCTCTCTGGGGTGTCCAGCCTTCTGGCGTCTCTGGGCCACACTGGAAGAAGAAGAGTTGTCTCAGGCCACACAGTAAATACTTTGCAACACGTAATCACAACAAAAATCTCACAATGTTTTAAGTAAATTTACGATTCTGTGTTGGGCCACATTCACAGCCATCTTGGGCTGCATGTGGTCTGCGAGCCACAGGCGGGACACCCTGCTCCTTCCAGTGACCCAGGTTTTTAACTTAGAGGGAGGGTTGGGGCAGGTGGCCTCACCAGGGTGTCGATGTGGAAGTTTTCCTGCGTCTTACGTAATTTGAAAAAAGGAAAGTTTAAGCTCTCTATCTCGTCCTGTATCTTTAGCTCAAAACGGGATTGAGTTAAGGTTACTATTAACCAGGTTTACAAAAGTGGCTTACACACTGAATTGAACTTGAAGAGAAAGCACATTTAGGAGGAATAATAAGTCTGGGGCTTTCCTTGGTGTTACTTGCTGTAGTTACAGATATTTCTAGATCCGCCTATCTGTATCTATACACATAGTTTCTAAAGGAAAAAGTCACAGTGACATGCTCCCAGTCATGGACTGCTGTCTGTCCTTAGACCATAAACAGGATACTGTTGTCCCTCACACAGTCCACTCACCCAAGCCCAGGTAGAGATAAGTCTCTACCCGGCAGAGTGAGAGAGTCGCCCCACTCAAAAGAAGACCTCTAGGCAAGCGGGGCAGCGGCACTGGAGTCACCTCCTCCCGCAGGATTCGGCTCCGTGGGCAAGTGCCCCACCCTCAAGTCCTTCAGATCTCACGCCAGTCACCAGGCAGGAGTTCCATCACAAACCCCTTCCAGGATGCCTCGTACTGATTCTTTGCGTGATGTCCCGGGCAAATGAATGGAAAGCATTTAATTACTAGAGAGATTACATTTTCAAAAAGAATGTGGGTAGATATCAGAGACAAGAAACTAAACCTCTTCTCAGTTGGTTTTTAAAGCCCAAGTGTGCAATCCTTGGGAACCCTTGCATGTCTGCTAGTGAGCCCCTTGCCAAGCACACGTCTCACGCACAGGGAGGTGGGGACAGGAATGACGATGCCGGTTCACGCTTAGCGGAGTCTTTTCTTGCTTCGACAGCAGGAGCTTTGCCCCCAGAGGCCCATGAGGTCTTTAAATATAAATGTTTGGTTTCCCAGATACTTAAAAGTTCCAGCTATGAAGTTAGTTTTGTTTCTGTGTGTGTGTTTTTTCCTGCACACTGCGCTCCTATAACCCATCTGCAATTCTTATGCATTTTGTGTTCTCCATTGTGATTAAAATGGCATAAACTCCAGCCCTGGCTGGTGTGGCTCAGTGGATTGAGTGGTGGCTTGAGAACCAAAGGATCACAGGTTTTATTCCCAGTCAGGGCACATGCTTGGGTTGTGGGCCAGGTCCCCAGTGGGGGGCAGGTAATAGGCAACCACACATTGATGTTTCTCTCCTTCTCTTTCTCCCTCCCTTCCTCTCTCTATAAAAAAATAAGTAACAAAAACAAAAAAGGTAAACTCTAGACTGTGGGCAAGATTCGTGGAGATGTTGAATTTTGAGCTTCTTGGCTTAGCTATAAAGAGAGAAGCTAAACTCTAAGAGCTCACCTGGAACTCATGGAAGTGTGAAAGAATTATCCCAGTAGGGTGCTCTCAACCCCAAGAGGAGCTGAGGGGGGTCTGAGAACATGCCTGTCGTCGAATGGTGGATATGGGTGTTCATGTGGACAACTCGAACATGTGAGCGGTGCAGATATTCTGGCAGGACGATGGCCTTTATTTTGATCAGTGAAGCGTGTGTCTTAGGCAGCTACTTCCTTGCTCCCTCGAAGTAAGTGGAGAAAGAAAAAAAAAAGCGCGTGCTACCCCCCCAGAGTTTGCAGAACGGGTCCTATTTTGCCTTAAGACATAAAATCAATGTGGGTGTGAACTGCAGGCCGAACCATAATTTACCTTTTATCAGACCAGTTAAGAACGTGCAGTAGCTCTGCAGTCATATTTGTTGACTAGGTTGTTCCTGGAGGTGCTGGCGGTTTCTCTACTAAACCTGGTGAACTCTGTTGGCTGTTTCCAGGGCCAGCCTGCGGTGAAATGGGGAGGAAGGTGCGCTGGGGGGCGGGGACACCCTGAGATCCTGATGCGCCATCTCCCTGCAGCCTGTCTGCAAATCACAGGGAGAGCCTCTGCGTAGCCCACTTTATGCAAATGAGTCCTCCCAGCTTCCGAAAAGCTCCTCTCCATCTAGGCCTGTAAAAGGTAATATTCTCAAGAAACATCTCACATGACACATTAGTGAAGGCTGTGCCTTCATCTACAGGCTAAGGGGAAACTTGGAGCAGAGAGAGACAGAAGAAGGGATGCAATGTGTGTTGACTGCTAGGAGGTAAAATCCTCTATCAGAAAAAAAAAGTGGGGAAGGGGAACAAAAAACTAGCAGAGGAGTCTATTCCAAAGAAGGAACCAAGAAAAGTGAATTTTCCAGGGAGGCTGAGATGGGACTTTAAGTTGGTGAAGAAAATGGCTGTGAAAACTGGAAGTTCACATAAGGCGGGAATTTGTGTAGTACATAATTTAACTCCCCACGACAGAAGGCCAGGCTCTGTCTTCTAGAACACAACCTCCAAGTCCTCCACCGCATGCCTGACACAAGCATATGTTTGCCTGGGGCCTTGGCTTGAGCTGTGTAGAAGGTATGACTTTGGGCGGGTCCTGGCCACACCTGGTGGTAACTGTTCCTCACCGTGGGGTTTGGGGTCCCTCGGGGTCCGTTAGACTTTGAGATGGAGATCAACCCTGTGGGCCATCCTTCCGGTCTGTGTGCAGTGTTGCCTGCAGTCCCGGCTGCATCTGAGCAGGGTGGACGCTGCTCAGAGTTCACAGGGACGGAGTGCCCGGGGCCTTCCTGGACGCTACTTTCTGCGCCTCTTCCCTCAGCTGATTTTAATCTGTATCTTTTTGCTGTGAAACTGTGTGTGACTCTTAAGTGACACAATTTCAGTGAGTTCTCTGAGTCATGGTAGCAAACTGTTGACCCTGAGGGTGGTCTTGTATGGACGGAGTTTGCTCACACTTGACCTCAGCCTAGGGTACTACTAACTATAGAGTGAGGAGAGGAGGTGGCGTCTGTGAGGGGTGGTAGGTTCCAGGATTAGTTCGTAGCTCAGTGCCCAGGTGGCCTTACATTCACGCCCCAGCTGGCCCGTGCGTGACGGCAGCATTTTCATCATCGTACTCTCAGATGAAGAAAACGTGGCTCCAGAGCTTGTGCGACTTCCCTAGAGGGGCTAAGGCCAGGAAGGATTTTGGATAGACCACATCCAAACAAACCGCCAACGGTGAACTTAGGTCACAGCAGGGGTGAAAGACCAGTGTTGTATGAAGGGCAAGTCATGAAAACGAGGCCACTAATTATTCAGGGTTCTGTAATACGTCACTTAGTGAACATGAGCCAGGTGGTCCCTGAAGTGCATACCCACCCAAGTCCATCTAAGCCTCTACTGTGTATTTGTGGAGCTCAGAGACTGGCTCAGTGGCCTCCGACGTTGTAAGCACTGCGCATTTGTTGCACTTGTGTGTCCTGGTGCAGTGTTAGAAACACGTTACACAAGATTGAAAGGAAATAGCACGCCCGTCTAAAAACATGGATTTGATAACTGCTCTGAAGGAAAGGTTCAGGGTGATGGGGAGACGTACACAGAGTTTAAGTGCGCACAGTGCCGGTGGGGGGAGGGGTCTGACCAATGATGGGAAGCAAAGGCAGCGTGACCGCAGCCCTCGAAAGGGAGGAGGGAGGGCGGGGCCAGGCCACCACAGACAAGGTACCTACAGACTTGGGGGGGGGAGTAGAACGGGGTCCAGAATTCTGACATGACAGCGCTGGACACAGCTGAAGGAGGTGGGAAAATGAGTTGAAGCAGAAGGGGTCATGCTCAGAGATGGGCACCTTGGAGAGCACCAAACGTAAACCATAGAGGCCCCAGGATACAGTGTCTGGAAAGTTCCGTACCTCCCGGGATGTAACCTAATCAACCTGCGCCTTCCAATGGCTCTGACAGCAGATTTCCTAAAGGGGCCATGGGGAAAAATCGAACTCATGTAATCTGCTCATAGATCTCTCCTTTCGGTAGGTCAGAATGTCTCACAAACAAAATCAGATTAAAATTTCAGAGCACTCTTAGGGAATGTAAGTGACTACTTCCAAAGGGAGAGAACAGGAGAATAGAAAGGAAAAGCCATTCTAACAGAGTATTTGAAACTCAGCTTGTCATCATTTCAGCAACTGCTAATGCACTTTCCACGTGTGCTCGGCCCGTCTGTCCGGAAGCCACTGCGGTGTCAAGGGTCCGGCAGGGAGTGGAGGGGTGCAGCCATGCCGGTTAAGCCTCGGCTGTTGGCAAGT